TGTGAAGAAACGGATCCCTCACGCATTCCTGGTGGGCGTAGCACAGCCTCTCTGGAAGACTGTTCGGCAGTTTCTTGTGAAACTGAACATAGGCTTATCCTACAACCAAGCAGTTGTGCTTCCGTGCTCCTGAGCGTTTATCCCAGAGACACGAAAACTTAGGTTCACACAAAAACCTATATATGAAGGTTCGTAGTAGCTTTATTTGTAAAAACCAGAGGTGGAAACAACCTGAATGTTTTCCAATGAGAAGACAGATAAACAAACGGCAGTGCACCCAAACAATGGGATATTACTCAGCCGTAAAAGGAAGGAACTATTAACACTCATGCGACAACGTGGAGGGAGGGGGGGGTCTCAAGGACGCCAAGCGAAAAGAAGCCAATCTCCAAAGGTTTCATACTTTATGATTCCATTCGTATAACATGCTTGAAATGACAGAATTATAGAAAAGGAGCTGCCAGGGGTTAGGGATGGGGAAACAGTTTCTCTGTGTTGATGGGAGAGTTCTGTGTCCTGATTATGGTGGTGGTCACATGGGGGTAATACTTGTGATAAAATTGCATAGAACTGTACACAACGCACACACACACACACTTGAGTGCATGTGAAAACTGGTGACATCTGAATAAGGTCGATGATCTTGTTAATAGTGTTGTGCCGATGTCAATCTCCTTATTTCATACGGTACTATAGCATGACCGTGTCGGTATTACTTGACCATATACACTGTCAAAACTCATTGAGGGGGAAGAGTATAGCTCAGTGGTAGAGCGCATTCTTAGCATGCACAGGGTCCTGCGTTCAATTCCCCGTACCTCCATCATAAAAAAAAAGAAAGAAAAAGAAAATAGAAAGAAAGATTGTAAATCAACTACACTGCAATAAAAAATTGAAAAAAAACCTCATTGAACTCTACACTTAAATTAGTGATTTTTCATTGTGGATAAATTATACCTCAGAAAGCTAATCTGAAAATATAAAACAATAAATGTTACAGTGACCTAAAGAGAGAGGAAGGGAGAGGAGGGAGGAGGGAGGAAGGAAACCATAACTTGGATGTAACAGATACTGTACAAGATGAAGAAAACTCTCTCTCTCTCTCTCTCTCTCTCACACACACACACACACACACAATCATCCATACCCTCAGATGTAAGAAGATACTGGTTCTGGGGGAGGGTGTAGCTCTGTGGTAGAGTGTGTGCCTAGACTGCATGAGGTCCTGGGTTCAATCCCCAGTACCTCTTGTTTTTAAAAAATAAATAAATAAATAAATAAATAAATAAGACCTTAAAATTACCTTACCCCCAAATTTAAAAAAAATTTTTAAAAAAGAAGAAGAATTACCGGTTACCGTAGAAAGGAAAATAAGG